ATATAAATGAATCTTGGTCCCTCTAGTCAGATGTCTCACCACAATCCTCTCTACCACATACCTGACAGGTGATTATATATCCCTAGCTCTAAACATCAAAGAAGAATTTTGTTTCAAGGTGGCCCCCTGCAGTTTTTAACAGAGCTAATTGTTGAAAACTCTCCTTGTGTTGATCCAAAATGTACACTTTTCTGTCTTTTACCCACAGGGCCTAGTTCTGCCCTGTGCAATTGCATAGGGAAAATCAAACCTCTCTTCTATAATAAATACCCTTTCCATATAATTTGAGTGAAACTTAATTTCTACATCTTTTACCAAACTAGTTGCTCTCCAGTTAGTCAAGGCCTTTGAATTTTATTTATCTTTTTTAAAATTTTTATTGTGATTTGGGTGAAAATTTACAGAGAAAATTCATTTTCCATACAGCAGTCCATACACATTTAGCTTTATGACATTGACTGCAATTCTCCACAATGTAACAGCTCTCTTCCCACTTCTTCCCTGTAGTTACCTGTCCCCTGAGCCCTTCTTTCATATGCATTCCTGGCCCCCAAGCTATCTCCCTGTGCAAACACTGCCCTTCTGTTCTCCCATAACTGACTGCTGTAAGGAGTATACCTACCTGATGTACATGTTCACCTTATATGCCTGTTTGGCTGGAAGCCACAGGAGTGAGTTCAGTTCCAGACTTGAACAGTAACTAGGTCCATAGTCTTGGGGGTCTCAGAAGGCTTTATCAGACCAGTAAACTTGGTCTTTTTTATTTTTTAAATATGACTTTAAGTTTTCTTACACATTGTTCTCCCATTCTATCCAGGTCCAAGTGGTAGCCGGGCACCATTTAGTTCTTTAATTTATTTATTTATTATTATTATTATTATTTATTTAAAGAGCTTGTTTTACATTCAATGTTACATGTACATTTAGTTTCATTCGCCATGTCCAACCCTAACCCAGTCTCCCCCTCCCTACCCCGTAACCGTCCCCGAGGCCCTCATATTTATGCACTCGTTTGTCCTGCATTTCCTCAATTTGAATGTTGGTCCTCTGGTGCCCCGTGGTCTATTGCTCTACGGAATGTATTACCATAGAGTATGTGTGTACGTCATCCTGGGTTGAGTGGTCTGCCTATACATCTTGTTAACTATTGGGCTGAGAGCCCGCCCCTGGGGGTGTGTTTTATTCCAGGCGCAGAATGTATTCCAGGGCCATAGTATTGGGGGGGGTCTCATCAGATTTCATCTGACCAGTAATTCTGGTCATTATTGAGTTTTTGGATTTTGTTCCAGGTTTTTCCTCCCACTCTATCCGGGCCTTCTCCAGATCTGATCCTTTCCTGAGTGGTTGGCATTGGTAGCCGGGTACCATCTAGTTCTTCTGGTCTCGAGGGCCATCATGTCCTATGGCTGATTGCTTCCAAATGTCTTTGTTTCTTATGCATTCTTCTTCTCTTTCATCACTAGGAGACTCAGCTGCATCTTAGATGGCTGCTTGAAAGCTTTTAAGACCCCAGGGCACCATTTAGTTCTTCTGGTCTCATAGTCATATAGGCTGAGGATCGCATGGTCTACTAGTCCTTTCGACTAATTGCTTCCATGTGCCTTTAGTTTTCTTCATTCTTCTTTGCTCTGGATGAGGAGAGAACTGTTGTTGCATCTAGATGGCCATTTGCAAGCTTTTAAATATCTTTCAATTTTAACACAATCCTTTTCTCATTCATATTCTCAACTTTCAAAAGGCCATCCCTGATGGCTTTACCTTCTTCTGTGAGTTCCTGCTTCAAGATCTACCTCATGCAATAAGATACATCTTAGAAATTTGCTCATACCATTTTCCTTAGGGTCTATTTACCATAGTCACAAATAGGACAAACAAATGAGAAAATGTCCCCCATCCCACCCCATTAGAAAAGATAACTGATGCCAGTTGTTGGTTCTTTATGCTGTGAATTCCCAGAAACTGAAGCTAAATAAATAAATTAGTAAGAAGTTTCTCATAATAATATTAGAAATGAGCCTTTTGCAGAAATCAGTTGCCCTAAGAATAGATTACTAAATAAGTTGCTATAAATATGTGCAATCATCCCCAGAACTAAGAAAGGTGTTCAGGGTTATCTCTGAGATTATAATGTTGTTGCTGTGTGCTATGAGTCAATTCTGACTTATAGCAACCCTATAGGACAGAGTCAAACTGCTCCACAAGGTTTCCAAGGCTATAATCTTTATGGAGCAGATTGCTAAGTCTTTTTTCCCATGAAGTCACTGGTGGGTTCGAACCCCTAACCTTTTGGTTAGCAACCAAGTGCTTAACCATTGTGCCACAAGAACTCCTTTTGAGACTATAATATGACATGAGATCTTATCATCAATAGTGCAACTTGATTGTAATAAAGATGGTCTATATGGAGTCTGTAAAATGGAGTAAAAATACAACCAGACCCATTCTCACCTGAGAGATCTGAGGGGAAGTACAAAGTTCTTCTGGGTTCAGATTATGGGTAGTTTCTTTTTCGCTGGCCTCAGGAGTTCTTTCTGGCTTCTCTGGTGGCTCTGGATCAGGAGATGCCTGTATGGAGGCCCTAGGACTGGGAGTCTCAGCTCCTAAAAAGGCCCTAGGGTTGGTGGGTGAACACTTTTCAGAGGCCATAGGGCTTGAGGGCATGTTTCCTGAGGAAAGCCTGGGGCTGGGAATGGCTCTGGGTGGAGGAGGCCTACTAGGGGGTGCTGAGGTCCTCGAGAGAGAGGCTCTCTTCTTTGGTTGTTCAGATCCTTCACTTGCAGTACGGGTTCGGAGGACTACTTCTGGAGGAGATGATGAAGGCTGCTCTGAAGGGATCAGGACTCTGCCCACTGATGGATCTGGGGAACAAGAGAAAACTTCCTCCTGGGACTCACCACCCTCAATGGTGGGAGAAGGCTGGGTTTGGGTTGGGCCATTGCAGGCTGGCAGAAGCTCTTCTTCCTCAGAGGAGCTGGCTTCATCCTCTCCTCCCTCTATTTCCTCATCTTTTAAGGGTTCTTCTTTGATCTCAGAGGTGTCTTCTCCCTGGGCTGGACCAGGTGCCAGCTCTTCTTCAGCTGCTGAGATGGATTCCTTTTCACTCTTCAGGGAAAGTGCAGAGGGACTGGTAGGTGAAGTGAGAGGACTGGAAACTGTAGATGTTTGAACTGGGGGAGAGATAACTAAAGAGCGTCTGCTGTTGCTAAAAAGAGAAGAGTTTTCAGATTCAGAAGAGCTAAAATCTGGAAGGAACATAAATATCCAAAAAGAAATTATGATACATGCACATAATAAAGCAGAGTGAAATGATATTAAAAAGTTTGTATAATATGCAATAATGCTTAAGTTATAAAATAAAGTGAGAAATTTCATAAATAAAATTTTATCTATATCATGATTTTGATTATGTAAAAATATGCTGAATAATAGACTGAAGAGAAAAATAGCAAAATTTAACAAATATAGTCTATGTGGAAAGGATTAATGGGTGATATAACATTTATTAAGTATTATTATGTACCGAGTACTTCCACAGCCAACATCAGCTTGAATCCTACTTCACTTCTTTGAATCCCTCTTATGTACTATTTTCCAAATGACTGAGCAACCCACAAATATTTACTCTAGAGGTTTCAAATTCTGTGCTATGTTCTAGCAAAAAGGATGAGACAATAGGGGTAAAAGGAGGAGTAGAGAAACTTGAGTTTCTGCTGTGGGAGCTTGTGTGTCGGGTAAGCTTCGTGACAGAAGGTTCTTTCTAGTGCTAGCATTCTAGGAGTCAGGGAGTTTAGAAGGTTCAGTACATAGCAACAAAAGAAAAAAAAAAGAGGCTGAATTTCCCTATAGGTTTCTAGGACAGCTGACTGTAAGTGACGGTTAAGTTGGGAAGAATGGATAGTTAGAGAAAACTCTGGCTTTCAATGCTGGGAAGAGGAGAAATGGAGCTTTCATAGCAAAGAAGGAACTCTTCATTGGCCCTTTAGTAGTTCTTTTCAATAGTCTGTAACTAATTATTAAATGAGTGGTACAAACAAATGTGAGGCCTATTCTTCTTTCATGTCCCAATCTCAGTGTCATCACCTCCTTGAAGTCTCTGACCATCTGGACCTGGTGGTTGCTTACTTCTCAGGAATTCCTACTGGTCTTGTTGTTGTTGTTATGTGCCGTCAAGTCGCCCGACTCACAGTGACCCCTCCTTGGGTATCACTACGGAAGTAGATTGCCCAACCTTCCTTCCGAGGAGTGGCTGGTGGGTTTGAACCGCCAGCCTTCTGGTTAGCAGTCAAGTGCCTTAGGCACTATGTACCAGAGCTCCTACTGGTCTCATTAGGCACTTGATATATACAAGCTTGTATTGTTCCCTGCCTCCTTAGGCAATCTTCTATGCTTCCAACTTTCTATAAATTACTTTAGAGAAAGGACAAGTCTCCTGTATCTTTGGATCCTTAGCATTCAGAATAAAACCTTGTGCATAGAAGGAACTTAATCAAATTCCCTGAACAAAAGCTTCTAAATGAGAAAGTGATTTTATTCTGAGGGACCAGTGAATTGCTGAAGTGTGTATGAAGTGTGAAGAGTGCATGAATACAAAAGAAACCACAAAAACTCGAAGAAAAGAAAACCATAACAGACTGGAAACGATATTTGTAGTGCATATTACTAAACGATTAGTATCACAGTATACAAAGAATTCACATAAATCAGTTACAAAGAAGGGTAGAAACCCAATTAAAAATGAGAAAAAGATAAACAACTCACAGAACAGGAACCATGAATGGTCAACATGAAAAGATGCTCAAGCTAATTAGTAATTGTGGCAACATGAATTAAAACTACAAAAACTCCAGTTCATATCCATTAGTTTGGAAGAATTTAGAAGTATGACAACATCACATGTGGCAAGAATGAGAAGCAATGGAGGCTCTTATTCACTGCTGGTGAGTTGTAAATCCAACCAAACAATCACTTTGGAGAGCAATCTGGGGAGGTGGCACAAAAAGTTTGTGCCTGACTGCTAACCTATAGGTTGGCATTTGAAACCACTTGGAGGTACAAAGGCCTGGTGATCTGATTACATTAAGATTACAGCCAAGAAAACTCGATGGAGCAGTTCTACTCTAACATGTGGGGCTACCCTGAGTCAGAACTGACTCAACAGCAACAGGTTTGGTTTGGTTTGTAGTAAAGCTGAAGAAGCTCCTATGCACAAACCATATGACTCAGCAAGTCCACTCCCGATACGCACCCTAGGGAAACTCTTAATAATATTCACAAGGAGAAATGTAAAATATGTTCATTGCAACATCATGTGTAAGAGTGAAAAATAAAAAAAAAATTAAAAAAAAAAAAAAAAGTCCACCAGCAGGAGGATAGATAAATGAATTGTGAACTGGGCATACAATAATATCCATACTAGTTACGGAAAGGAAAGATTAGAGCTAGCAACATGTGGAACAAGGATAAATCTCAAAAGTAATATTAAGACAACAAAAACAGTTGCAGAAATATAAACCTGTTCCTGTCAAGCTGATTCTGACTCATAGGGAGTCTACAGGACAGAGTATAACTCTGCCCCCATAGGGTTTCCAAGGTTATAACTCTTTATGGAAGCAGACTGCCACATCTTTCTTCTGCAGAGTGGTTAATGGGTTCAAATTGCTGACCTTTTGGTTAGCAGCAGAGTACTTTATTCACTGCACCACCAGGACGCCTAAAGAAGAATACGTAGAGTGTAATTCCATTTATGTAAAATAAAGGTTACAAATGTGCAAAGCAATATTTTATGTGTGTGTATGTATGTGCATTAAACCAAACTCACTGCCATCAAGTCGAGTCTGACTCAAAATGACCCTCACTGGGTTTCTGAGGCTGTAAATCTTTACTGAAGTAGATTGCCCCATCTTACGTGAGCAGCAGATGGGTTTGAACTGCCAACCTTCTGGTTAGCACTCACATGCCTTAGGCAGTGCACCACTAGAGCTCCTTGTATGTGCATAGTAGAAGTAAAAAGATGTGCATGGAAACAATAAATATTAAATTCAAGATAGTGGTTACTCCATATAACTGATAAGGGTTTAACTTAATATATATATATCCAGAATATATAGAGAAAAGTCTGCTACTAAAAAAACAAAATGAAAAACCACCGCCAATTAAAAAATGGGCAAAGGACCTGAATATACCATAGCTTATTCTCTAAATAAGGTATACAAATGGCTAATAAGCACATGAAAAGATGTTCAGTGTCATTAATCATTAAGAAAATCAAAGGAAATAAAAACTACAATGAAATACCACCTCACACCCATTAGGATGGTTATTATCAGAAAAATGGAAAATAACAAGTTAGTTGGTAAGTGGAAGCTCTGGTAGCACAGTGCCTAAGGCATTTGACTGCTAACCAGAAGGCTGGTGGTTTAAACCCACCAGCCACTCCTCACAAGGAAGGTTTGGCAATCTACTTCCTTAATGATATTGCCTCGGAAACCCAAGGAAGGGTCAATATCAGTCAGGTACAACTCAATGGCACATAACAACAACAACAATTGGTTAAGTATTGGTGAAGAAATTGGAAACCTCAAGAACTGCTAGTAGGAATGTAAAATGGTGTTTAGCAGTTCCTCAAAAAGTTAAACATAGATTTAACATAAACAAAGAAACAAACTCACTGCCGTTGAGTCGGATCTGACTCATAGCGACCCCTCCTTGGGTTTCCAAGGAAGTATCACTACGGAAGTAGATTGCCCAACCTTCCTTCTGAAAAGTGGCTGGTGGGTTTGAACCACCAGCCTTCTGTTTAGCAGTCAAATGGCTTAGGTGCTATGCTACCAGTAATTCCACTCCCAGTTATACACCCAAAAGAACTGAGAGTGACTCAAACAGATACTTGTACACCAATGATCACTGAAGCATTGTTTACAATAGCCAAAAGGTAGAAACAACCCAGTGTCCATCAACAAGTCCCTGGGTAGTGCACTGGTAAATGGATAAATGTAATATATATATATATAACGGATTATTATTATTCAGCCATAAAGAGAAATGAAGTTCTGATACATACTATGACATGGATGAACCTTTAAAACATTATGCTGAGTGAAGTACGTCAGATATAAAAGGAAAAATATTTTATGTTCCCACTTATATGAAATATCTAGAATAGGCAAATGCATAGAGACAAAAGTTGATTAGCAGTTAACAGGAGTTGGGGTTAATGGAGAATGGGGAGTTATTACTTGAGGGGTACTGAGTTTCTGTTTAAGGTGATGAAAAACAGTTGGAAATGGATAGTGGTGATGGTTTCACAACATGGTAAATGTAATTAATGTCACTGAATTGTACACTTAAAAATGGTTAAAATGGAAAATGTTTTGTTGTATATATTTTACTACACAAACGAAAGATAGTAGTTACCTCTGTATCTCTGGTGGAAAGCAGGAAGAGAAAGTGACTGGGGAAGGGACACTGGGAGTTTCAACTATATTTGTAATAGCTGATTTCTTAAGTTTGATGGTAGGTATATGGCTGTTTGTTGTATTGTCATTTATATCTGAAGCTATGTCTGAAATATTTACCAAAAGGCAAAATAATTTATAAAGAAGTATGATACAGACAACAAACAACAACATGCACAAAGGAAAGGCCAGGATTTTGGATGGAGATAAGAGTCTTGAATGTGTACATTCACATAAGACACAAAAATCAGAAAGAGTCTGAGAAGTTACTCACCTTGACAGTCCCTTCACCACAAAGACTTTGTTGGAATGCTGCTTCTCCAGTTTGCTCATCACCTCATACAGACTGTGGTTCAGCTAGAGCCAGCAAGAAAAAAGGGGGTGCTAGCCAGATGGAACTCAAGACTGGCATATCCCTTCTCTCCTTACCTTCAGAAAGCTTCCCTAAACAAAACTCCCTACCCTTTCAACTCTGATCTATCATTCTGTTCATCTCTCCAACACTAGTTAGTGCTCAGGGTCCTGTCCAGCCATCCTTCTTCCTTGTCTGTATCCCAAGTTTTACTTCTTGCATCAGACTGGTAGCTCCCTCAAGAGAGTCTGTAACTGACGTGTGATTCAAGGTTCTAGCTCTCTCTAGTGCTGAGCATTTAGCAATCCAGGGAATAAAAATTCATTTAGTGATCCAGGGAATAAAAATCCACTTTCATGTTAACTTGGCAAATCATAATTTAGCCAAAGAAATTATGGAGAGGAATATCTGTGTCTCTGTATATGAATAGAAAAAATATTATAATAGCAAAAGATCTTGGAATCCCAGGACAATATGGCTACCTATCAATGATGGTTACTCAAGACTAACTACCTAAGAAACTGCCTTGTGGTTAAATACTGCCCTCCTGGCTCCCCACAACCAAAAGATGGAGATTTCATAACTTGCTTCCTCATTTTAATTGTTCCTTCCATATGCCTAACCTCCTTTATTCATGCTGAAGCTGAAGTCTGGACTTTTATTTAGTTGTTAATGTAGATGAAAAGGACTGTCTGATAGTGTATAGATGTGCTTTATTTTGACTCAACAGAGTCAATCAAGTATCATGAGATAAATGCTAGAATCTTGTGATATCAATATGGATGTTAATGAAATTATATAGGTCAGAGCAACCTTCATATTCACTAGAAAATTCCATTCAGGAGTCTAAAATTGGACAGATGTTTCTCACCTTGCTCATCTCTCTGTAGAAAACATCCCTCAGATTGGAAATGTTTTGGAAGATGTTCACATAACAGCCAATACGACTATAAGGAGGCAAAATACAAACACACACAGAAGTAAGTGATTTGTAATACAAAGTAGGAGCTCAAACCAAAGCCAGCCACTACCAAGATTCCTCAGAAAAAGGCACCTCACTTCCTAGACTAAGGATGTTAGATCTGGCTTCCTCAGAGCCAGGTTAGGCACACACCTGACTCTCAGGTATAGGAAGACCATGGAAGACACTATTAGCCTAGTCTGACAACAAAGTAAATGGATTTCTAGTTTTATGAAGTTATGTGATTCAAGCTCTTTAAATACAGAAGTAGACATGAAAGTAACTTTAAAGAATTTATATAAGGCAATGTAATTATAACTATTATGGTAAGTAATTATTCTTTCTCTCTATGCAATATTTGGGCTTCTATGAAGTTGCATGTACATTAATGGAATTCTACTTTAGATAAATTCAGGAAGTTCACATTTATTTGAAACTTAAATTTCAATTCTGTTTAGAAGATGGTGGAATAGGCAGACAAGCTACACTGACCCTCTTCAACAAAGAAAAGAGAAACCAATTGACAAAGAAACAAGATGATCCTGGAGCCCTGACCTTTGAAATGAAGGATACATAAGTGGATTAAACACCAACTAGTAGAAGAACCTGAATGACAACTGTGAAAAAGGAGACAAATGGAGCTGTGGACTGTCGGCTATTCTGATGGCACAGACAGCCTGATTATTTCCAACTGTAAGTTAGGACCTGAGAATTAACCTAAAAATGGGCCTGCTTGCCTGACTGTGCTGGTGGCTAATGACTAAAAAGGGAAACAGTAAAGAAGGAGACAAACTGGGCCATGGACTTGCTTCTTCATTTTAATTGTTCCTTCCATATGCCTAACCTCCTTTATTCATGCTGAAGCTGATGTTTGGATACTTTTATTTAGTTGTTAATGTAGATGAAAAGGGCTGTCTGATAGTGTATAGGTGTGTAGCCATTTTGAATGTGTACAAGTGTTGGGCATTTTTTATATTTAAAGTGGCAGCATTCTCATTCAGATTCCAGGTATCTAACCATAGGCTCTGCTTGCCAAGCACAGTGCAGACATACAGGAGGCTGACAACTAGAAAGGAGATAGGTGGTGACTGCATAAGTGCTGCCAACTAGTGAACACAGGAGCACAGTACCCTGCTTACTCAGGTATCATCCAAACAAAATAGAGAAGACAAAAGTCTTAGGCAAATCACTCCAATACACAATCACCAATTAAATATAAACACAAAAACGTCACAATGTCTCAGAGACAAAACACCATCACAGTCCACACAAAGAAGCAAAATAAAGCAGTAGAAACAAGGGACCAGGATACAGATCCAGAACACAACCCTAAGTAAGAAGCAGCATTGGAACTAATATAGAATTCAAAAGAATTACATTTAGGTACTGTTCTGGTTACCTAATACTGCTCTGACAGGAATATACCACAAATGCGATGGCCATAACAAACAGGAGTTTATTCTTTCACAGTTTGGAGTCTTTAAGTCCAAGTTCAAAGTGTCAGGCTCTAGGGGCTGTGTGAAAGCCCCTCAACCTTGGGCTTCAGCTCTGCCTCTTGCTCCCAGCCCACTGAAAACTAGAGGTATTTCTTCACTCAGGCAGCTACTGGCTGCTGAGGCTAACAAGTCAACAAATAAAATGGCATAGTCCCGATGTTACCAAACCACACAGTAGGCCATTAATTCAAGTCCACTGTAAGTCCCAAGGTTGGCAGAGCATGGCAGGCTGCTGGACAATGACACAGCTACATGCAGGGTGCAAGTGTGCCATAAGCTAGAGACCATTCCCAAAGCTGCTTTTTATATATAGGAAGCAGACCACATACCCAAAGGCAGCTACTCAGTTGCTCACAGTAGATTCCACCATGGAACTGATTACCAGTCTCATCCTGGGGAATACTACATCCAGCTGCCCAGGCACTCAACCAGGTCTAGCCAAGTTGACACACAAACTTAACCACCATGGGTACCTTCAATGAATTGAGAGACAGATCGAGAAAAACACTGACAAAATTGAGGAAAACACAGAGAATACCCTAGAACAATTTTGGAAAACAATGTAAGAACAAAATGACAAAATAAATGAAAAATTAGAAATGATACAAGATCTACAGATAGAAATCCAAAAGATTAATACTAAATTTTCAGAAATAGATAATACATTGAATGGGCAAAGGAGTAGAAATGAATCTATGGAAGACATGATTAGTGAGACTAAAGAAAAATACCTCAATACTTCTATGGAAAGTATCAGAAAATATCAGAAAAAAGATCAAACCAAAATGAAGAAAGCCTAAGGTTCATGTGGGATATCACAAGGAATAACCTACATGTAATAGGAATTCCAGAACAGGAAGGGACAAAGAAAACTACAAAGAAAATTGTCAAAGATTTGTTGGAAGAGAATTTCCCTGATATAATGAAAGATGAGAATATATCTATTCAAAAAGTCCAATGAACCCCCAAGAGGACAGACCCCAAAAGAAAATCACTAAGACAAAGCATCATCAAATTCGTCAAAACCAAAGACAAAGAAAGAATCCTGAAAGCAGCATGGGAAAAACGAAAAGTTATCTACAAAGGGGAACCAATAAGACTAAGCTTTAGTTTCTTGGCCCAAACCATGCAGGTAAGAAGGCAATACCAAAAACCAAACCATACTCACTGCCGTGGAGTTGGATCCGACTCACAGCGACCCCTCTTGGATTTCCAAGGCTATCAGTACAGAAGTGTATTGCCCAACCTTCCTTCTGAGGAGTGGCTGGTGGATTTGAACTGCCAGCCTTCTGATTAGCAGTCAAATGCCTTAGACACTACACCACCAGAGCTCCCAAGAAAGCAATGGGATGATACATATATAACCCTGAAAGAAAAAAATTTCCAACCAAGAATTATATACCCAGCAAAACTGTCCCTCAAATGTGATGGTGAAATTAGGACATTGCTAGATAAGCAGAAATTAAGGGAATTTGTTAAAACCAGACCAACCTTACAAGAGATGCTAAAGGGAATCCTTTGGACAGAGAACCAACAACAGCGAACAACAAATGACCATTAATACACATGATGATATAACTCAGGAACCAACCCAGCTATGGAAGTATCCAAAGTAAATAAGCTTACAAGATTGTAAACAGGGAACCAGAGACATCAACTGGCAAATGAGGACAACTACACACCAAAAAGAGGGAAAAAACAGTGTAGTTACAGAACTTCTAAATGGTGAGGAAGTCAAGACAATTGCAAGATAGAATGGACTATTCTAAACTTGGAAAGAAAATATAAATCACAGGGTAACCACAAAGAAAAATAATAAACCTCCAGATCAAAATAAAAAAGAGGACCAGCACAAATATGTAGCAAATACTAAAACAACATTAACAAAGTAAGTGATAAAACAATTCATAAACAAAATGAGCTCAGCACAGAAAATTATATGGAACAAAGAAATCAGCGATACCACAAAACACCACATAACAAAATGACAGCAACAAATTCATACTTGTTGATAATTACACTGAATGTCAATAGATTAAATGCATCACTCAAAAAACAGAAAGTTGTAGACTAGAAAAGAAAACATAACCCATCAATATGCTGTTGACAAGAGACACACCTTAGAGAGAAAGACAAAAACAGACTAAAAATAAAAGGTTGGAAAAAGATTTATCAAGCAAATGGCAACCATAAATGAGTAGGAGTGATAATATTAATTTCTGTTGACTTTTAGACAAAACCTCCATAAGAGACAACGAAGGGTATTATATAACGATTAAAGGATCGATTGAACAAGATGCCATAACCATAATAAATATCTATGGACCCAATGAAAGAGCCCCAAAATACATAAATCAGACTTTAACAGAACTGAAAAACAGAATTGACAAACAGCTGATTCTAGGAGACTTCAATACACCACTTTCAATAAAAGATAGAATAACTAGAAAGAAACTCAACAAAGATGCAAAACTAAACAATACAATCTACCAACTTGACCTTATAGGCATCTACAGAGCAATTTACCCAACAACAGCACAATATACATTCTTTTCCAGTGCACATGGAACATTCTCTAGGACAGATCATATGTTAGGTGACAAAGCAAGCCTTAATAAATTTTAAAACACTGAAATACTGAAAAGCATCTTCTCAGATCACAATACTATAAAATTAGAAATCAATAATAGGAAGGTCAATGGAAAAAGAGCAAACACATGGAAACTGAGTAACACCTTCCTTGAAAATGACTGGGTAACAGAAGAAATAAAAAAATGAAATTAAAAAATTTCTTGAACTAAACAAGAATGAAAACACAACATACCAAACTCTTTGGGACACAGCAAAAGCAATGATCAGAGGCCAATTTATAGCAATAAATGCACAGATCAAAAAAAGAAGAAAGAGCCAAAATAAACACCTTAACTCAACATCTCCAACAATTAAAAACTAAAAAATAAAAAGCCTACAGTTACCAGAAGAAAAGAAATAATAAAGATTTGAGCAGAAATAAATGAAACAGAAGATAGAAACACAATAGAAAAAAAAAAAAATCAGCAAGACTAGAAGTTGATTCTTTGAAAAGGTTAATAAAATTGACAAACCACTAGCAAACTTAACAAAAGAAAAGAGGGAGACAATACAAATAACATGAACAAGAAACAAATTGGGCGATGTCACAACAGAACCAATAGAAATTAAAAGGATACTATCAGGACACTATGAAGAACTATACTCCAACAAATTTGAAAATCTAGAAGAAATGGACAGATTTCTGGAAACATACTACTTACCTAAATTAACACAGGCTGAGGGTGGAAGTTTTGAACAGACTTACAAGGAAAGAAGAAACAGAACAGGTCATAAAAAAAAAATATATCAACAGAAAAAAGCCCTGGCTCAGATAGTTTCACTGGAGAATTCTACCGAATGTTCAGAGAAAAACTGACACCAATCTTACTCAAGCTATTCCAGAACATAGAAAAGGATGGGATCCTCCCAAATTCATTTTATGAAGCAAGCATAACCTTGATACCAAAACCAGGCAAAGACATCACTAAAAAAGGAAAACTACAGACCAATTTCCCTCATGAATACATGATGCAAAAATCTTCAACAAAATCCTAGCCAATAGATTCTAACAACATATGCAAAATATAATACATTATGATCAAGCAGATTTCATACCAAGTATGCAAGGATGGTTCAACACTAGACAAAAAAATCAATGTCATCCATCACATAAATAAAACAAAGGAAAAGAACCATATGATCATATCAATCAACGCAGAAAAGACATTTGACAAAATTTAACACCCATTCCTGATAAAAATTCTCAGCAAAATAGGAATAGAAGGGACATTCCTCGACATAATAAAGGGCATATATGCAATATCAACAGCCAATATTAATCTCAATGGAGAGAGACTGAAACCATTCCCCTCGTGAACTGGAACCAGACAAGGATGCCCTCTATCACCACTTCTATTCAACATTGTATTAGAAGTCCTAGCAAGGGCAATAAGGCAAAAAAGGGAAATCAAAGGCATCCAAATTGGTGAGGAAGTAAAACTATCCCTATTTGCTGATGATATGATCCGATACATAGAAAACCCAAGACACTCACCAAGAAAACTACTGGAAATGAGATACCATCTTACCCCAGCACTAACAGCAAAGTTCAACAAGACAGAAAATAACAAATGCTGGCAAGGATGTGGAGAGATTGGGACTCTCATTCACTGCTGGTGGGACTATAAAATTATAACAACCACTGTGGAAAGCAGTGATTCCTTAAAAAGTTGGAATTAGAAATATCATTTGATCCAGCAATCCCATTACTAGGTACGTATCCTAAAGAAGTGAGCACCAGGACAAGAACCATATATAACTAACCTTTTAGAAAGGCTCCATCATACAGTAACTAATAGTAATTGACAGTATAAAAATGCATTTACTAGAAGTGCAGTATCTCGTACAATGAAAACAATATATGATATAAATGGACCTTCTCTGTTCAGATTTCTCTTCCAGTGTAAAAAAGTTGTATCTAAAATATATTTAGCCAAAAAAATAAAAAGCTACTATGAGCACAGATATTTTCATTAATGCAAATAATCATCACACAGTTTATCTTCTATGTACACATGAATGTTCATGAACCAAACTTATTTAAAACAATACACACTAGAGCATGCATGACAAGCACGCAATATCTAGAATGCATGACAATGGCACTTTACTTGCCAAGCTTTCTTCTATCCAAGAAGCAACTTGTCTCCAAACCTAGAAAAGCTGGCAGAGCAAGAATGCTTACCTTTGTACACAGATGGAAAAGTTGGGGTCTAGAGAGAGAAGGTGGCTTGGCTATTATCACAGAGCAAGTTAGTGGCAGGGCTGAGACTGCATTCCATTCTTGGACCAATGCTCTTTTCATGAGGTGCCATTCTTAGGCTCCTAAGTGGCCCAGGCCCGTGGTGGCTCTGGAGTTCAGCCCTTTTCCAAATCACAGTGACCTAACTTACCTGTTGTAAATAACAGGCAGCTCCTCCAGCAGTTCCTGGTTTAGGTCTTCAAACACTATCTGGGCTTTATTGAACTCTTCCTCTGCCTAGTGGTAAAAAAGACAAGCCAATCCCCTTCAATTCTGAACCTAAGGCTAGATGCTATTTCCTTCATTTTCTGTACTTTTTCAGGGACTAGACTTACTTGGAAGGAGCCCTGGTGGTGCAGTGGTTAAGTACTTGGCTGCTGACCAAAGGGTTGGCAGTTTGAACCCATCAGCTCTGTTTAAGAAAAGACCTTGCAATCTGTTCCCATAAAGACTGCAGCCTAGGAAATGTTATGAGGCAATTCTACTTTGTCATATATAGTCACCATGAGTTGGGATCAACTCAACAGGACAAAACAACAAAAGCTTACTTGGAACTATGCCTCTCCTTTCTTAGCCTTAAGTCCCTGATTACTGTTATAGCATCATCAATGTCAGAGGAAACAGGATTTCCTTTAGGAAACTGGATGCTGTGTTTTCATTTCCTGTTAGGAGCTCTGGTAGCGTAGTGCCTAAGGGATTTGACTGCTAACCAGAAAGCTGACGGTTCAAACCCACCAGCCACTCTTCGGAAGGAAGGTTGGGCAATCTACTTCCATAGTGATATCACCTTGGAAACCCAAGGAGGGGTCGCTATGAGTTGGGTCCAACTCGAGGGCACATAACAACAACAAACCCAGGTTGGCCTAGCTACCTGCCACTATTATGGGGAGACAAAGGGCAGGATGGGTTTACCAGGCTTTTTTACCTTGGCAATCTTGGCCTCATCTTTCTTCTTGGCATTCTGCACAGCCTCCAGGTGGTGTCGGGCACTGTCATAGTCCACGAGTTTCCGACCCCGCTTGGCAATTCTCTCCTAGCCCAGGGTGATCACAAGTGAGGGCCTTGGAATTCACTTTTCAGTGGCCAGGATGTGAGTAACAGAGGACCAAATGAAGAGGCAAGATTCCTATATCTTACTGTCAAATTTCACTTTCTAACAGGGTTTTGTGCGCAAAGGACCTCCCTCACTATCTGGAGAAGACTGAGTAAAGGACAACCCTAGAGAGAATGCGGAAGCTTGCACTAAAATTTAATATTCCTTATAAACCCACCAAGAACCAGAAGAAATGGCCTTGAGACTCCCACTAAGTTGAAAGTTAGGAGGTTTGGGTCTTAGTCTCAACCCTGACATTGATTGATTGTGATTGATTGATTGTGATTTGGGTGAAAGTTTACAGAGCAAATTCACTTTCCATACAGCAGTTCACATACACTTTGTCTCATGACATTGACTACAATTTACCCCAATGCATCAGCTCCCCCCCACCCACTCCCGATAGTTGTCTCTTCCCTGTGTCCTTCCCTCCATGGACTCCTGCCCCCTGAGCTGTCTCCCTGTACATACACAGCCCTTCTATTCTCCCATGACTGATCTCTCCAAGGAGTGTATCTACCTCATGTAAATGTTCACCTCATATGCCTGCCTTTTGTTTGGCTAGAAGCCACAGGAGTGGGTTCAATTCCAGACCTGAAGGGCAGCTAGGGACCATAGTCTCAGTGGTTCCATCAGAACCCTGCCATTTATTAACCTTATGACCTAGAACTTCAGTGGCCTCATCTTTCCTATACAGTGTTATTTTAAAGATCAAATGTTGCTGTAAAGTGCTTTGAAAACAAAATCACGATGAAAATAAGTAAATTATTATGAGCTTTAAATCTGCCCAGTCTCATTCAAACTACAGATTAAACCAGGAAGAAGCAAACCGTTCACTAGTCTCTATCTCATTCTCTCAATCACAAAATTTGAAAAGATCTTAGCTATTATTTAGTTCAACTTCCTATACAGTACATGAAACTTCTCTACAATATCCAAGATAAGTAGTTCAGCTTTTGCTTGAACAAAAAACTGAGAATTACTACCTCACAGTGTATTACATTTCATTTTTGGAAAGCTTTCACTATTAGAAGCTTAAGTCAGCCTCCTTCAATTTCTACCTATTAATCTAAAATCAGCACAGTGCTCAATAGAGTTAAGTGTTTAATAAATATAAGCTGAATGATAAACAAATTCTAATTTTGCTTTCTGAATCAGTTTAGAACAGGCTGTAGTGCCTGAGGCATTTGACTGCTAACCAGAAAGCTGGTGGTTCAAATCAACTAAACACTCTGTGGAAGGAAGACTAGAGAATCTTCTTCCATAAAGATTTACCACTTCAGAAACCCAAAGGAGTCGCTATGAGTTGGAATCAGCTCGATGGCAGTGAGGGTTTTTTTTTTTTTTTTTTTTTGTAATAGCCATTCAAGCCTTTGAAGATAACTATTATGTCTCCGTCAAGTTTCTTCTTCTCCGCAATAAACATCCTTAGTCCCTTCAGCTGCTTCTCAGAGCTAAAAAGAATGCCCTAACTTGGACACGGGAGCTCTGGTAGCATAGTGGCTAAGACACTTGCCTGCTAACCAGACTGCTGGCGGTTCAAACCCACCAGCCACTCCTCGGAAGGAAGGTTAGGCAATCCTACTTCCGTAGTGATACTGCCTCGGAAACCCAAGGAGGGGTCGCTATGAGTCGGGTTTGACTTGACGGCACATAACAACAACAACAACAACTTGGACCTAATTAAACACCAGCCCAAATCTCTCTGACTAAAATTCAAGTTTAAACATAACTATCACACTACTCTAACCCTTGACCCTAATCTCTTGTCTAGTCCTCAAACTTAATCCTTTCTCCCAACCTTCTACCCAACTTCATTCCTAATCTTGGGCTCAAACTCCACTTATAATGTTTAACCTAATATATCCATCCTCTAACCTATGTGGGCCATGTACAACCCAGATTCGACTGTGTAAATTGAGTACCTTAATCTCACTGAATTGGACTATGTAATTTTCCATGGTCCTCACAGCCTGGTCAGCCAGTTTCTCTTCATAGTCTTCCCAAAGGAGATCATTATTCTGTGGGATAAAGGTAGAACTGGTGAGGGTTCCACTTCTCAATATCAATTGTCCACGAGGTAAATACCCAAGTTTTCTCTGCAAAAATACCTCCATTTGGGAGCACACTATTTAGAAAATCCCTTACCCAAAAGGAACTCCTCTATAGGAGACTGGACATACATCAAGGATTAAGAAAAGAAACATATATGGTCAGATCTCTGTACTTTAGAGCTCGGAAGACAGGGAGGTTTGGACATATATAATTGCAAGAGGTTAGTTTTCAAAAGCAGCTGACCTTCAGAAGGCTAAATCTCCTACAGTTGTAATGAAGGGAAGGAAGTCAAAAACAGAGGGATCCACAGATAATGGAGAACCTGTTTTCACCTTAATGGTGGCAGCTTCTTCTTACCACCCAGGGACTGAGGCTATTCAAATGAACAATGTGAAATGGCTCTTTTGTTTTCCCATTTGCTTGGATGAGAAGTTAAGCTGAGGTTGAGAACAGTGAGGGCAGAAGTTGAGCACTACAGTTGTAAAGCCCAGGCAGCCCTTACCCCTATGATGGCCTTCAGCTCCTCCTGACCATCCCATTCACTGCTGTAGATCTCCTGCAGGGTCTCTGACACTCTCTTTGAACTTTCATGCATCACTGAAAAGAAAGAACTCAGTTCTACTATACGGTTTCCCAAAAAGCAGCTTGATATAATCACAAATGTACAAACAAATGAATGTGTTCCAACTCAGAAGAACAAATTCATAAAGTGTGGGTTATCAAAGGAAAGGTGGATGGGGCTGGATAGGGAAAATCACTCTTACTAGGTCCCCCAAAGTTTCAGGAGTTAGGGGCAGGCAAGGCATAAAAAGCCTGAATATGGCTGTCTTTTTTCCTACTGGCTTCTATCCCTTAGACCTCTTAGTAGCTGCATAAATACCCTCTGGATTTTAGTAGTTGTATAAATGCTGTGGTAGTTATGTTTGTGTGTCAACTTGGCTGGGCCTCGTTGAGTGGCTGGGCAGCTGGTGGTAGTCATTCCCCATGATGAGAATGGCAATCAACTCCATAGTGGGATCTACCACAAGCAGCTGAGCCCTTTGGGATGTGGTCTGCTTCCTGTATGTAAGGAGAAGCCCTGGGAATGGTCTCTAGTCTATGGCACGCTTGGACTCTGCATGTAGCCGTATTGTTGCTCAACAGCCTGCTATGCCGACCTTGGGACTTACAATGGACTTAAGTTAATGGCCTGCCATGTGGTTTGGTAACATCGGGACTGTGCCTTTTTACTTGTCAACCTTGGGGCTTGTCAGCCTCAGCAGCCAGCAGCTGTCCGAGTGAAGAAAC